CAGGGAGACCTTGCCTGTATGCAGGAAGGAATTCGAATGGATGTTTCTCGGGACATGAAACATGTGATCTTAGAAAGACTTGCAGAGGCAATGTACAAGTACACAGCATACCCTACAGAGGAACACTGTCAAGAAGTTGCCGCTGCACTGATTGCAAAACATCCCTGTCTGAAAGAAGCTGGATCACGCACAGGATATTGTGGATGGAAAAATAGCATTAAATTCAAGATGGGGAATTTTCGTACAAAAATGAGAAGATCAGGAATGGCCGATGTCACAGTGAATGGCAACAAGCAAAAGAAGGATTTCCCAGAAGGAGCACCATCATGTAGTAACATAAAAAGGGCAAAAAGTAGTGAAACAAATTTCTTGCCAAATTTTCCTAATGGTGAAAATGCAGATTCGCTTGAGTCTGTTAGAAGACAGCTTGAAAATGAAGCAAAAAAGAGGCTTCCGGACTCAGCTGATGTGAAGAAAATGATGGACCAGACATTTGCTTTGCGACGCAAAGAAATTGTGGAGGAACAGCGCTGGCCTGTGCTGTTCACAGAAAGTCAGGTATGGCCCACTTACACTGCACTATACTGAACCACACCACAAGTAATCAATATTTTCACTGTGGATTACACTGTTGTTTCGGTTCTTTTAATGATTAATTGATGTATCACTGAGTAAATCTGGTCATTACCTTTTGAAAAATGTATTGTATATGACAGTCAAATAGACTATTGGTGTTAAATGACTGCCATGGTGGAGTAAACAATCCTTTGGATGTGTTTGTTTTTTTTTCTTTTTTTGTTTAAGGTGTTTGCAGAGTTCTACAGAGTTGCCAGTAAGAACCTCAAGAAAGACTTCTATGAAGCTCTGGACCACCATACCGCTCGTCTCATTGACCTCTTCAAATCCAGAAAAGGAGCTGTAGGCCAATCACTTGATCACCTCCTCCAGTCAATCAATACACAAGTAAGTGTTGTTTCTGATCTTCATCATTACCACCTTACAGTGGTGTGCTTGCAAGCATCAAGTAGGCTTACAGCTGCTACAAAAGTACAAGTAATTCTTTAGAATTCAATGTTGGAACTCGAGCACACGTATATCCACAGATTTTTTTTCTCATATTTTTCTTTCATATATTCTTCTGGTTATTGTTTTTTTGTCATCTTTTCCATGAGACTGACATCACCACAACACGCACTGCTGTCCTGCAATGTCTGCCCCTGTATCTTGGAGATAATTCCAGTGAATTCTTCCTCAGTTGCTCAGTAAGTACATTTATAATGACAATGATATGACCATCGTACAATGCACATTTTAGGACATCATACCTCAGGTTCAGTTCTCAGATTTCATTTGTTCAGGTCTGATCTACGAAAAAGAAAAAAAAAAACTTTTTTCAAGGTTTAGGTGTAGTGCACCTGGTCTTAACTATTGGCTGTTCACAGCCAATAGTTAAATTCCCCCAAACTGAGGTCAAGTTAGGTATTATAGCCTGTATTCACACTTGACCAAACCAAACATATTTAAGTGGGGATGTTACAACATTAAACAAGGGACATATTTTTAATAAGTTGGGAGTTACAAACAAATTTGTTCCCTCACATGTGATGCTGAAGGAAAGTCATTTTCCATCTTAGTGAAAGGTGAAAATGTTTAATTTCCATTTCTGCCTGATTATAAAATTTGGGTTTAGAGGATTATATCACTAAATTGCAATCACACATCTGTGTTTTATATGATTTTCAATGCATTCAACGTTTGAACCAAATCTGAGCCTCCCAGATTAAGTTGTACAGCTTTTTTAAAATGCATTTTGTTAAGGTGTAGTGCTGAAATCCAGCCATTTCTACCTGCTCATAATCTAAAGAGCTCTCAAAAACAGTATTCCAGAGTGCTGCAGACACTTTGATCATAAGAGTGAACACACTATAACCATGGGTCTTAATATCCTACCTAAATTTATTTGTGTTCTTTTATTTTGAATGCAGGATTCGGACACTGCACAAGACTTCTCCCAGGTGCCTGTTGGGGTTCTTAGAGTCATGACTGATGACATGCCACCAGTGATTAACAGCATTGCAATCATCCTTGAAGGAAACATAGTCATGGATGAGGTTCCCACAACCTCTCTAGGACTTTGTCTTCTGTTCGGCTTGATATATGCACTCCATCTGGATTACCCCAAAGGTATGAAGAACACATTTGAGTTCATCCAGAAGACATTGTTGAACCTTGGACAACAAAAGCTCAGCCCAAAACTCCAAACATTAAAAAATGCTCTTTTGAGCTAGATGTTATGGCTAGGGATAGCTATAGCCTGCTGTTTTTTTACCCAAGTGTGGTGTGTGAATCAGTGTGAGTGTGATGGGGCTGAACAATTAAACAAAGCGTTATTTAGTATGATAAGCATTTATTTTTAATGTATTGAATATTATATTTTGCTTGCTGCTTTTTTTGATGTTTTGATAGTGAAACTATGACAGAATACTCTTTTTTTTGTGGAGCTGAAGAGGTCTCGATATTGTATTCTGAAGAAATAAGAAAATACACAACACAGTGAGACTGATCCTTCTAACAAAAATGAATGAATCGTCACAATAACTTTGTTCAGCCTCATTTCATTCCATACTAATCTGACTCAGTATTATGGGTGTGCAGTTACTGTTACCTCACAATTGCAGAAAGGGTGGAGGTACTTGGGGAGCCAACAGTGTAAAACAAAGTTAATAAAACCAAAAGTAAACTTAGTATAAGTATCTATTGAGATACCTATTTGTTGTATTTGTTTGTTTTGCATTTGCGATTGGAAAGCATAAAAAAAGTTTAAAGGCAGCAGAAGACATCCTTATGTAGGTCACATGACCCCGCCATCAGCGCAGGTGTTAAGTAATTTCCAGTGAGTTAAAACTGTTGAAAAAGAGCATACCGTATATGATGTTTAGTATTAGAATGTAGTGTGCTTTTGCAACACAGGTTGAAAAAAATCAAAGTTATTAAAGAGCTGACTTAGATTTAGCTGCTTTGATGTATTGATTATGTTTGTACAAGTACTGTTCAATGTAATAATCTGGACTAAATGTTCCCAAGTGTCTGTTGCTGTGAGACATTCAGAAAAGTGTCCATCTAGAGCCTTCTGTTAGCTTATACCCAGACCAACCAGCACACCACCTCACTCTTACACTCCTTCTCACTCTTAAGTCTCACTCATTCTGTCATACATCACATACTGATTTTCACTCATACTCACTGACATACTTTTGTCTAGCACTCACTCGCATACATACACGCTCATACACTCAGTCCCTCTCACAAACACATGAGCAAATACATAATTTAACAGGAATTTGAACCAATCTGCAAACTACAAGGAAGGATTTGCCTCGAACTGGCTTTAGCATAATTTATTCCCCGTTTTCTCTGCCCTGCACTGACTGGCCTGGTTCTCTGCTAACAGAAGGGTTTGGCCTACTATAATTCAATACAATATATGCAATTTTTGGATGAAGGTCAAATTTAGTAAATAATTTCATGTTGTGTTAAATGCCAAACTCGACATTTGATGGTCTTGACAAGTTTCAGAATGAACAGGATGTTGATTGTTGTTGTTTAAAAATAGTGAAATAAAAATTTTAATAATGCCATTTTGTGAATTCTTATTTTCTAAGTTAGCTTAACTAAGGTATGTTAAGTGCATTTATTTGAAATTAAGTACTGCTCACTTACTTTGGCACAGTATACATAAAGTTAATGTAACTTATCTTTATTGAGTTACGGTCAACTTTATTGAAGTGGCTTACACTAAGATACTTCAAGTGTAGTTTTTGACAAATTTCAAGTGATGGCCACTTGTTTTGGCAGAATATATTAAGTTATTCTGACTCAAAATATATGAGTTGTAACAGCTTAATTAGAATTTAACTACACTGAGATCCATTAAGTTCTCACAACTTCAAAAAAAAGTAGAGCTCACTTAAATCCAATAATTTCACACTACTTCACACAATTAAGTTCGTTTACTCAATTTTCCCAAGGTAATCGGTTTCCTAAATTTGTTTAAGTAAACTCAACTTGTTAGAATTTACAGTGTAGCAGGAAACCCACTGATTGGACTGTTTTGGGGATGTCACCATGCATCATCATCATTGTATCATCAGGATCCAGTGGGAAAATCTGCTCTCAGTCGGCACTTTGGTGCTTTGGTGTTTATTTATGTTCTCTTATGACATAAAGAGCTAACAAAGATATGAGGGATTATAAGCGTTATTAGTATTTAGACAGCAAATTGTTTGCATTTTGTGAACAATGACAAACAGGTAGATACAGGATTAAAAAGAGACATCTTGTACAGCACTATTCTGAGTATATTATTATGGAATCGCTATGTCACATACTTTTAATTGACTTAAGTAATAGAGAATACAAGCACAGCAGAGTGCAATTTTAACTACATTTGACTGGTCAGGGTATCTCCACACTTGTGCTGATACACATGTGTGTTACCATGGTTATTGAATGATTTATGATTTGATTATGAAGATCGATTATAAGTTCACTTCCTGAACAGTATATATATATATATATATATATTACATAATGAAATGTGGCCTGAAATGGTTTAAGTTTGGTCTTGGTCTGGTTATTTGGGCCACACTAGGGTTCAGCTCTCTCACCAGCTAAAACTAACTGTACTGATGGGACATCACAGTTTTTTTTAACCAAACAGTTTAGGTATAAAAACACCCTGGACACAAACTTGACTCCAATTGAATGCCAATGTTATATGTAATTTGGCAACTGTGTGCTACCGCATTTGCCAATACAACTGTAAGGTGATAATATGTTAGTGTACAACAACTTGTTCCAATGCATCCAAGAGGCCACACTGATACTCTGAATATAGACTTTATCATGTAAAGAAATATTTTATATTTAGAATTTCTAGAACTGACTTCAGAATTTTCTTGTGTCATGGCTTTGCAGTGACACAGTCAGCTTGTTCTCACCTCCTTGCTGGGTCTTGATCTGGAGAACATCAGAGGGAGGCCCGTCTCCCACTGAGGTGAAGCCCAGCACTCTCAGGCTGTAGGTGATGTCTGTGGTAAGACCAGAGATGGTGGTGAGCTGGCTGTCATCTGTGTTGTGTTTCTGCCATTTGTTGAGTGGGGAATCATACGCAGAGCTGTAGTAGACCCTGTAGCCCCGGATTTGGCCGTTGGGCTCCTCTGGAGGTTCCCACTGGACAAGCATGGTGCTGGAACTCAGCATGCGTGCCTGGACGTGAAGAGGAGGTGATGAGGGTGCTTGCTCACTTGTACGGGTGTCCACAATACCACTTGGGGGGCCCCGGCCAATGTTGTTGACAGCCATGACACGAAACTCGTATTCGGAAAAGGGGCTGAGTCCGCCTATGCTGTATCGGGTGGTGGCTACTCCATCTACTTCCTGGAAACCGTTGTCAGACAGTTTGGCACGGTACTGGATCACATAGTAGGACACAGGTTCTGGGTTGCCAGAGTCCCAGGTCAGGGTGACACTGGTTGCTGTGGTTTCTGTCACAATGAGGGAGGTGGGTGGCTTAGGCAGTGCTGTCAAATAACAGAGACAGACAAGAGAGTCAGACAAACAAGTCTCCCACAGTCTTCTTTTTCCATCTCTCTTACATAAAGGTCTGGCAGGAGGAACACCTGCTGAAGCTCTGCACACATGGAGATGTTCAACAATGTCAGTCTAACAGTTAATTCTCATTCAGGAGCCTTTCTCTATCCTTTCCTCATAGATCCATATATTATGTTGCCAGGCATATGGGTGTACAGAGCTGGGCAAGATTATATGCACATGTTTAATTCAGTCACTTTGGAAACATACAACAAAACTATTCATCCATTTCATATGGAGCTCACCAGATGCCATAGGCCAAGAAACTTTCATTAATTTGCACTCTCAAATTTAATAATTTGTGTAAAATATTTTTCAATTCACAAATAACACAATGTTGCTTCACAGGCAAACAAGCAAATTCTGAATATATGTACATCCATGTATCTGTCCAAAATCACAACAAGAATGCATTCAATCTAAGTTGCTTATTTGGTTCATGGTCTGAAAACTGTTGCTATGTATTTTTCACTGCAATAGCTGAGTGCCAAATGCATCCAAAGCTAGCAAGCAATACTGAAACAAGGACATCCGATTTAAGTATTACAACAACTGTATAAAAGAAAAATTAACTTAATGATACAATTATCAAGGACTTAATTCAGTGTCTGTACCTCACAGCAGCTTAGTCTCCTCCCTACATGACTGCAGTAGACACGACATCCTGCAACATCCTTCTGCAACAGTGATGTCACATTGAGTATCAACATTAACATTCAAAATGAACAGTGATGGTTTTCAGATCATGGACAATCTAATCAGAATGCGGTTTTATTTTGATTTTGGACAGCAATACTAGATACACTTTGGACATTGTTGAATGTTATATTTCTATTATTTGAGTTTCAGCACTATATGTGGTTTTATGTTGCTTAGCCTTTATATGTATTTTTCTGAACTGAAACCATTTTCTCAGAACTTAATTTTACTGGGGTCCAACTGGGGACTCAGTGCTTACGACATTTGCACTCATGTGGTATGTGGTATGTGGTATATCCCAACCACTCAGCTATCAGGTCTCCCAAACTGTTTCAACTTTAACCTTTGTGTTTTAATTTGTCAAAAGTAAAACAATTAATGAATTTGAGAGCACAAATGTAATTCAGTGATTTGTGCTGATCTGAAAATATGATTTATTGATTTGCATATTGATTTGTTTTTTTACAAAAAAATTACATCTTCCAAACTTAGTATATATCTGGACCACCTCTTGTCAAATCCTGATTTTATTACCACGTCATGTGATGTTGAGTTTATTTACTGTAATAGGGGCGAGGCTCAGAGTATTGGAAGCGCTCCTCCTCTTCCCTGCAGTTCCTGAGCAGCCGGGAAACCTGAGCGGCTCGGTAGATTGAGGTATAGCCCTCAGCCCCCAGTCAGCATCCATACACAGTTCACTCATGAACCAGGTTTATACCCAGTCTGTTTGTAACAAGTCTCTAAATCTAGAGACAATGAGCGAAGTTGTGGTGTTGTGGAGGAAATATGATCAATCAGTCAATCAGCTAGTCACTCAGTCAGTCAGTCAGTCAGCTAGCCAGCCAGTCAGTCAGCCAGTCGGTCAGTCAGCCCGCCAGCCAGTCAGTCAACCAGTCAGTCAACTGGTCAGCCAGGCAACTGGCCAGTCGACCAGTCCGTCAGGGACATTCCAGATTATAGGGCTGGTTGATTGTTGTGGTCCAGCCAAAAAGATGTAGATTTGTATGGATTTTGAAACAAGGTCCAATGAGGCAGAGATTTTCACTTTATTACCATTCTGCAATCTACCGCAAAAATGGTAAAAGAGAAAATAGAGAAAAAAATGCCTTGCACAGTTGAAACTCATTTCATAAAGATATTTATCATTGTTACGTTGATCATCTTGAATTGAATTTTACTCGACACATCTATCATGATGTGGAGGTCTTTCTCTATTTCTTGAGTGTAACGTGAATTTAAAAAAGCTCAGACTTTGGTCTGGACATTGTGCTACTGGAGTGCAAATGGATGTGCTTCAGTAAGAAGCAGATCAGTGGGGTGTGTAGAAATGCTCACAGGCTGTAACCAGAGGCTTTTAGATCCAACCCTCTGCTGCTCCAGTCTTGACACCTGCTTTATTATTATGCAGTGTATCCAATGCTTCTTTTTCAGTACAGACGTGAACCTGAGCAGGCTATGGTTGAATGAAGCTTCAGATTTTCACAGTATTCTCATCAATCTGTTATGACAAAACTAGAAAGTGCATTTATATACTACTCAATTCTTTGTTAGGATGCTAGGATTGTGTTCATAGGCATCATCATTTACAATTTAAGATGCAATGTCTCTCCCATACAATGTCTCTCTTACTATTCATATATTTGATTACAACTGCAACTGCAACTGCCGATTTTAACAGGTAAACATGATCAAAATGTTGAATTTGCATTAACAGCAAAGAGCATCAATGACAAATCAGGAGCAGGAGACAAGAGGGAGGCTCCTTAGCAAAATGTGATCAAATATATGTATTTAATAGTGAAACAAGAAATAAAGACCAGTGTCTAATGGGACCCTGTTTCAGAAAAAAAAATCTGCTTCTCCTTAATGGGGCTTTCATACAGAAAACTACTTGGGCCAGCACACTGTTGCCTAAACACAACCAAACATTATTCATGCCTTTTTTTCTTTTATGGACAAAAAACACATAATCCAAGTAGAATGACCTCTTACAGAAGTAATTACAAAATAATGGAGTCCCAGACAGATCACAGCAAGAATTTTTTTGAGGGCCACTTTTGTGTTAACTTGCAATAACTTCTGTGATAAAAGGTGAAAAAGGAACGAAGGAAAAATTTCCCATAGAGAATGAATGGGGAGACGTTTTACAAATGACCAAACCCAGCCCTATTTGGAGCTCTACTGCTGCGTCATACTTCATCATAGAAAAATGGTTGAAATGTTAAATGGGTCACATGATTTGAAACTGTTTTGAGTTAAATCGGTATTTTGACAACTGTACAGTTTACACAAAATCGCAGTTTACGTTTTCTGTCATTAGACAATTTCAGACTTTAGATTCTTTGATCTCTGTGATGTTAGTGCTCATAGAGAAAGGTTACAGTTCAGAACAGTAAACACAGCAGCACACATATTGAATTTACTTTGAGCTTCGAGCTTTAGGAACTGTTCAATCATCATAGTAGCTCTCCCATAGACTGCAATACAAATTCAGAAGCTGATGGCAAACAGCAGGTCTCAGGTCTCAGCAGGTGCTACTAACGCAGTATCCGAACAGAAATGGGCAAAGCTGATTCTTTTTTGGCTAATTGGACTCATTAACTCTGGCTCTAGAAACATCAAAACCACATAGACGTGTTCAGGAGAATCTTGTGGCGCTGACAGTGTGATAATATTGCTGATATGATCTACTGTTTTGTATTAAATGGCAGGAGTTTAAGAGGTTCACTGACCCCTTTCTCCCATATATTTGATTTGTATGAGCTCTGTCTTCAACAGCTTCAACTCTCCCTCTTACACACACACACACACACACAAACACACGCGCACACACACACACACGCTCCTCCAGTTTAACATTTTGGCATCCAAATTTTCAAAGCACCGTACTTCAGTTAATATGAACTGCTTTTTCAACTATTTTAGCATTGTGTCAGAAATCTCCTTGTGTGACAGTACAAGTTTTGCTTGTACATTTCTTCTTTTTTTTCAGCCATTTTTTCATTTAGGCTATTTAATCTTCAGCCATTGCTTCAGCTACTTCAGTATTGCTTCGGCAGTTGTTTCAACTTCTTCAGCATTGCTTCAGCAGTTGCTTCAGCTACTTCAGCATTGCATCAGCAATATTTCACCCTCAGCATTCGCACACATTTCCCCCCTTTGGGGGATCTATACAAATTAATAGTAATGAATGTAATTTTTAAGAGGACATGGTTGACAGTAAATGACGTTTCTTGCCTTAATAAAGGTCATGTTATTGAATCTGTTCTGGTGTATGCACTGAAAAAAGTATAACAAAGATGGTCTTTAAAGTCTTTTATTTTGTAACTCTAGCAGTCTAAAATCACTTTTTTTCCAGTTTAAGATTTTTGACCAAAGCATTAATTTTTATTCAAATTACATGAAATTGGTCAATGAATATGAATATTAAAAATTCTTTGGCTAAAATGAATAGTTTGTATGTACATGGTAGTGTCCATATGGGGTGTTTGACATCTGCTGTACAACATTTTCACTGATTCTAACATTAACTTGTAAAGTTAGAAATTCAAAGTGGCTGCAGTTAGATCATGTTTGGTAAGCTGCTCCCCAGTATAAATGCATGTAGAAGAGTGACTCAGTCCCAGAGTTAATGGCAGTAGTTCTCTTGTGGTAGTGACGCGAAGTGTTAGAGGTGTGGACCCAGGGATTCTGATGTAATCTAAGTTTATCAAACTTTCAAGTCTTTCGAGCTTTTGAGTATTGGGGCATCATACACTGTTCAGACCACGAGTGTTATACCCACACATCACTATCAGGATGTATGGGTATAAGTGGAAGTGGAGGAACTGGTGCTTTGTTATCCTCCTTCAGAATTAAGCTTTAGGCAACAGGAAGTTTTTTTATTCACTGTAATAATTGAAAAAAAACGACCTGGAGATAATAAACCAATTTAAATCAATATAGAAAAAAACTATTATTAACACTAACAGCGACCAACAGTAGTCAACCATCAGCAAAACTGCAGCAGCATATCTTGTCCACAGGCAGCAGAAACAGAGAGAGTGAAAGTGAAACTTTACTGCATGTTCTGTTCCAGAAGTAAGAGATCCGGTTTCAAAATCCCATGGACATCTGTTACGATGCAGCTCACTTCCTATGTTTAGATAAGGGAAGGTAGTGTTGTAGTAGTACTGTATTGTTACCTATGTGATCTTATTTTTAATTTCTTTAATCAGCCTTTAATGAACAC